GTTTGAAAGAAGTTAAGCATTCGAGCATTTTACGAAAAGATTTTGTGAATATATTTTCTGATGTATCATATAAAGAAGTTTGACGTTAAAAAAAAAAAAAAAAAAAAATAGTATTATCTTAAATCATCCTGTTAGTATGTATAATACAAGTATAGATACTTATATCTTGCGGAGATCGTAGAAATGTTTAAACAATTCCGAGATATTCAGTGGAATTATCATTAATCCTCTTCCTCTTGAAATTTATTTACTGAATTTATCGAATTACTTCATTTCATTTTATTTCAATTAATTATTTCATTTGATACGAGTTTATCGAGGCTATTGAATTTACTTGATATTTAAATATTCCCTCAGATTTTCAAGTTCTGGGTTGTTCATCATTACTGAAAAACGTTTGAGATAAATATCTTGTATCTCTTGCTCTCTGACCTCAGGCTGGTTTTAAATTCTATTAATATAATCGTGTCGTGTTTCATTATGATTTTAATAAAATTTCAACATCTTTTATACCTATTTATATATACACATACATGACATACGTATGAAAGTTCTGTCATGAACTGTTTCGTGAGCCAGTGTATCTCTGCTAGACGGATGAAAGAGTATAAATCAAGTTCTAATTGAAAATAATACTCATTAACGAACGTCAAATATAACGTACATTATATTAGAAGTGCTCTTCCGCATTTTTTTTTTCTTACAGTTTCCGTTCTCGTAACGAATGAAAAATTGCACAAAGCCGTGCTAATTTAGTTCCCTCATACGATAAAAGTACTTATTTTAATTTAAACGCGAAATGTCGCGCATCAGCTTTCTGGAATGCACTTCTGGGTCGCGGAGAAATTATTCTGAGGTTAAAGCTCCTCAAAGATCGAAGAAGTTATTACTCTTTGAGCAAACAGCGCGGTCTTCACCGACGATGTGTAACGGCTTCCTATTACGAAGGTGACGGCGACATTAAAAATTTCAACAACTTCTCTTTTTTTGACAATTAATAATAATTAAACTGCTCTTTAACTACATGAAATTCCAATGTTTCTCAAATGTTTGAGAAATAATTCGTTTCCGCTATTAAATATTCTATTTACAGTATTTTACATTATTTTGAATCGGTTATTAGTCGAGATATCGTATTTCTGCAAAACATGGTGGATTTATTAGCTGTATTACATAGTTTAGTAGATATTCATATTCATGATGCTATGCAGTAATTTTTAAATTTCTACGAGTGTTTAAAAAAAGAAAGCAAATGATCGAAACACAATGATTTACCAGTCATGTCCACGACATTAAAATTTAGAGTTTTTAAATCTATTTTAAATCTCCTGTTTTATATCTAAATGTTCAATTAAGAACTCGGTCATAGTCTACCAGTGATTCTCGGTAATCTCTTGAATTTATTATACTAATACTTGAAGTAAACCTTAGTCAAACTCAGAATACTATATAACACATACTATATATAATATAACGAGTTTTTATGCATTTTTGGGAAATTCAAAGATAAAAAATGAAATGTACGTAATTTACAAAGACGTAACTACGGAACATCTAAAACACAGATCTCGCGTTACGATATTCAAAAGGTAAAAACAGCGTTTCACCTAGCTTCGCGAGCTTCTTCAATTACGTTTACGAAAATTTACATAAATATCCGCATTAGTAGTATTAGTATGATAAACCCAATTCAAATGTGTCGCCTGCTACATATGTGCCATTGGGGATTAACTCGTAAATATGTACATCAGTTAGTTGTTCGGTTCCACGTGTAATCCTCCGTGTCTTCGTGTGCGTTTGTCAATGACGAAGTCTTCACCGGTGTTCTCTGTCGGCGAACGAGCTTTTGCTAAGATCACCGCTGTGCCAAATCACTCGGTGACGTCTAACATTTCTAATATAATAATAATCATCGTCACATCCGTGACTCTTGCATTGGGTGATACCAGTCGGCTTGGCCTGGATGTTTTCCTGGGTGGTGCCAGGTGCGATGGCCGAACGGCATGACAACGTAACCGATTGCCGCATTGCCGATGTCGTGCCGGCCGTAACTACGGTACACGGGGTACGTGTACCCTGGTCTACCTACGCCAACCTCTGCCTCTCTCTCCAGGGGTGGACGACTTATCGACCTGGTGCTTAGTCAGGCCTACCACCTTTATCTCATCGGCAGTCGAATCACGAAATTCGTTCGACTCGCGTGATTTTTACGTAATCGTAGAATCGATTTTCAAGTGGAAATCAATCTGGAGCGACGCCAACGATTCTGCGATTATCGTTAACTCTTGTTTCGATCTCGTTTCCGTTCACGTACGTACGAGCTGCTCCTCGTCGGCTAAATTTGTTTCGTTACGATTTTATTGCATGTTACAAATCTTTGGCGATTAATTTTTGTTTCACTGCGTAATACGTAATGTCATATTCTCGTAAATGGATCTGTTTAATACGTTCTTTGTTCGAATGTTTCAAACGAATTTCCTTTTCCTCTTTTCTTCATCTTCTCACTCTATTTTTTTTTTTTCCATTTTATCCTTTTAGCATTTTTATGAAAGCATTCATGTCAAAAGAAAAGTTTTTCGATGTAAAAAATCAAGCAGTTAGTGCTTGGCGTTTAAAATAGATGTATTTTATCTGTCTCGGTGAGGACTGTCTTTCATTATAAAAAGTACACTCTTCATTTTAATGACTGTCTTCTTCTTTTTCCTACTTCTTTACGATTTACAAGGAATACTCATTTACAAAAGACTCTTTTTAGCGAGGGAAGTACACGAGCGGCACTCGTACACAGTGGCTGAAAACGATCGATCGAGTCAGAATTTTCAAGCTCCGAGGTGTGTGTTGGTGCGTGTTGAGGCGTGTTTTGGTGACACATGCTCGTCTCTCGCAGTAAAATTAAATTGCAACGCACGTGCAATTAATTTATTCCTCTTTCTTATGATTTCGTTCAGAGTCGTGCGATTAATTTTTCAAGTCGTTCCACGAATGACGCGTCGGCGAACGCGTTAATTTGCATTGCAATTTGTCAACATCAGAACCGAGCAGAGAGAGGCTGAACAAAAAAAATCTGCGAGGTATAAAGAGAAAGACTCGTAACGCGTACTAGCTTCTATCTGTGTCAGAATTAATCAAAGAGGAGATGGACAAAAAGTCTGCGAAATGTAGAAAGATTTACAATGTGTATTCTACTCTTTAGTCTGCATTCCCAAGAGAGGGGGAGGTGGAAAGGGAGAAGGAGGAGGAGTACTTTCGTAGTGTTTGACGAGAGGCCCTTGTCCTTCTAGGTCGTCTTTTAGAGTGTTTGCGAATCAGGCCGCGACCCCGTCACCGTCAACGCGGACCATCAACGTTCCATCTGTATGTGTGTGCATGTACGTACGTGTATGTATAGTAGTAGCGGTTGCAGGGGGATTGCGCGGCGAAATTAGAACATTGCATTCGTGAGGGTCGTCGTCGCTGTCTTGCACCGGGGCATCAATAGGAATAATACGAGGAAACTATGCAACGTACGCTCTGGTACATAGACGCGAGTGTAACGACCTTTACACCCCCGCAGGTGGAGGGATCGATGGGCTGAAACTCGGTGTAACCTCTCATCCACCGGCTCGTGTACCGACGGGCCAACTTTGCCTTCGTCGTGTGCTCGCTTGTCCCACTTTTCTATCGCATTCTCTACCAGCACCATGCGACCGTAATTACCTTGCTTCACACCTTACTGTTTGCTAATAACCTTCTGACCACCGTTTCGAATAGGATTTCCGACCGTTTGCCTTTGTGTGATTCTCTTTTCAAATTTCTCGGTTCTCCGCTGGTGTCATTATGGAGCCCATAACGATTCAACTCTCAATGGCATGTTACGTGTACGCTGGACTTGATGGGACCTCCTTACCTGACGATGATGATTTCTTCTTGCGTTTAGAACAAATTCTTTCTTCGAAAATGACGTTTCACACAAATTTGTAATTTACGTGGTAAAACGATGGAATAAACAAAGAAGTTCTCGAGGAATCGAGGATGGAATTACTTAATTTCGGAATTGTTAATTTTGTTGTAATTTTATTTTATTATTATTACTCGCTTTGTCACAGAACACGGAATGAAATTCATCACCCTAAATTTTGCAATACATAAATCACGCAATAAGTCAACGATGTCACTTGAGGGTGAAGCAAGCGTTAGTTGTTGTAATTCGTTACGTCGTGTCAAATGCAAAGTATTTATAATACTTGTTAATCTCCGATTTAAAGAACTGACATTTCGAATTGAGAAAAATTAAAAATTTTTCTTTTTTTTTTCGAATCAAAACTATAATTCATCGAACGAACGAAACGAAGGTGATAACATCGTGTAACTTATTTGTCACAATACTTGTGACTTACTATGATAATTATTAATTTCTATATTTAAAATTCAAATATAAATAGCTATAATTAATTAATAATGTTTTCCTCCTGCAAGTATAAACCAAATTTTAATTGGTTATATTTAATTGGGAAGAACAATAGAATCAACTCGTCACTGGGATTCCAATCTCTTAAATGTAATAATTCGAAATTCTAAACATCCGATGCTTGTGCTTCTTGTACTTTTACGAAGGCGATCAACTCTTAAATAAACTTCCAATTTTATAGTCTAATAAATAATGTTTACGTTCAATTTCTAATAGAAATAAATTTCGGGATAATGGAAATAAACCTTGCAGCATTGTAAACACAATTTTCAGCGCCCAATACAATTAATTAATCGTTAATTCGAAATCGATCGTAGTGGCCCATTTCCATTAAAAATAAATTATCGTCGTAATTACGTTTACCAAGGGAGCCAAGTTTGACTAGATCAGAGTCAATTTGTCTTTATCAATTATTAATTCTATAATCGTAAACGTTCGTTCTTGGTTAAGAAATGACCCGGTTATCAGTTTACGATGTCAGCGTCGAGACCGTACTAACCGTCCCGTTGAAACTCCAGGCTTGTGTGCAAGTAGGGTGAATAAAACAAGCTGCTGATTTGTTTAAAATATATTGTGTACGTTTCTCCACAATAGCAGCACGCCCCAATAATTTCAGGATTTAATTTCTCAGCGACCAGTATCGATCGATAAAATGTGTATCGTGTGAGGTTTTATTTCCATTTCTCTGTCGCGTGAAATACGCCTAGTGTATTCGTATCGTGTGTGCATACTGATATGGCAAACGGTTTGCGCTAAGGAAGCAAGTGCACCTATTTACTCCAACGATGGAGTTACATATTGCAGTCGTGACACAGATTATTATTGTGATCATTGAAAACATGTAATCGCGTTACACGCGTGGATATTTCGCTTTATAAAATAGATGTTTCCCCGCGAAAGGTTCTTTTTTTTTTTTTTTACAAGAAAACGTGATCTCTTTCTTTCCTTTACTTTTTTTTCTGCGAGAAACGGCTGAAATCCAAAATAGATCGCGCCAGAGAAACATACAGGAGATTCTTACTTTCGCGTGATAACAAGTACAATAGGACACTGTATAACGTTTCGCTTAATTTTGTATTTTTTTATTTTTATTTGATTGTTGACCCTCTATAACGCATGTATATCACATGTGTTCATATTGTATGTTGCGTCATGAATGGCTTATTTAGAATAATTATCAGTTTTCACATTTTTTAATTGGAACAAACTGACAACGTTCTTCCCTTGCGAGGGAATTCTTATTAGTTATAGAGAGTCAACGCGATTGTAAAGTTGTTTAAAAAAAGTCTCCGTATATACGTATAATAGCGTATCAATATAGAAGGATGTAAGATAATTTGTAATTATTTTATTATACCTTCTATGCTTTGTTGCAAGCTTTGCCTCCCTTCTAAATTGACTCGAATATCGTAATTGAGATTTTGTTAACTTTTTCTTAAAGAGAATTTTACCTACGTGCCATGCGTGATAATTGTTTCTCTGATTTTTTCTTTTTTTGTATTTTAATTTAATTTTTTTTTTCTTTTTTGTCAATTTATGTGTAAACATTTCAAGAAATCTCTACAATTGTAGATCTCGCGAAACGTGTTTATTCACGTTATAAAGAGCCCAGCTGCATTATAATAGAATACGATCGACGTTTTCTAACTGTATCGAGCAAAAAAAAAAAAAGTTCTATTACACCTACAGTTACTTTTTTCTGCGCTACGCGCTCTAGTACGGGTGTATAATTTCATCAAGAAATTATCATACAACTCTAAACAATAAATAGCATTCCACAATTTTTCTTCCTTCCAGAAATTCACGAGGACGAGAACCGTTTCAATTCGCTTTTTAAAAGCTTTCGAAAATTATCACATGCGCGTCACAAAAGTGCCTGGGTTGGTCGTAATCTACATGTCGAGGTCGAATATCAGGTCGTTCTTAAATTGCGCCTTAACCTCGTTCTTGTGAGTCTCGCTCGAGTAAATTTCATTCGTTTCTTCTTTGATACTCGTCTCGGCGCTCTTTTGATTTATTTTGTACTTGTCGCGCTCCTCCGTTTCGGAGTTCTCGCTCTCGCTCATTTTACGCTCGTGAGCGCGCCTCTTGTTGCGCAATTTACGTTGATTCTTTTTACGTTGACCGAGGATACTAGAATTAGATCTAAAAGAATTCAATAATTCGATTAATGCACGTAACTCCAGAGTATTCTAATTTGAATCGTACAAATTTTATTACTTAAGAGAAAAGAAAGCAGAAAAAAAAAGACGAGAAAATTATTCTACTCCCAATTAATTCAGACGAAGTTAAGTTCGATTGTTCCCGATTATTAAGAAACAAAATCACGTAACGCAGTTGTTAAGAAATTCAGTAGAGTCAGAGTAACTTTAATAATAAAATTGACAAGATTGTGCTGGTAAAAATTGAGCCGGTGTGTACCTGAATAATTGTCGCGATACTACGTCGTTAAATCGTACGGTTTTTTTCAAGCTGGCCGAGTCTGATTCGAAATCCTGTATCGAGTCGTAGTGGCACTCGACGGACGATGCAGCAGTTCCGTTTTCGTCGGCGCTGGACTCGGATACTGAACGCGAAAGATTACGGTTGCGTTGAGATCTCAATATACTTTTCGGGAATGAGCCTGTTATGTTATTACTTGTCAGTTCGTCCCCGCTGCTCTCTGAAACAGATCTGTTCTTTGACATAGTATGACAGAGATTCGGTTGTTCTTCGATCGACGTCGTACTGTGTCGTTCAACCTCGTCATCCGTATCTAATTGATTGGGAGCGATGTTTATAACGATACCTTCATCCTCTGGACATACGTCATTATCGTCGTCTTCCCCATCCTGTAGAACATGAGTCGATGAGTACAAGAACATTTTTAACCCGTAACTGGCGTTGTGCAGTCTGACTTTATCAATTCTATTCTCCTTCTTTGCTTTTTATATTTTGTCTTTCTATCATGTTTGTCTCTTTCATCCAAAAATGGCTCGTTTTACGATATAATTGTCAAGGTTATTTCTAGTGTTTTTGAATAAAAAGAAAAGAAAAAAAAAAAAAGCAAATGATGTCAATTAAGAACAATTTGTATTAAAATAAAATTTCAGCTTTTGTTAAATTTGTTAATGTCTATCTTGGATAACCGTTTATATAACAGTGATGAAAGTTATGACTCTATATGAGCAAAATTCAAACTTTCCGACACGCGATTATTATAATTACTACAATTGAATTATAATTGTAAAAGAATTGGAGATGGAAATTGTCAACAAAAAAGTCTTTTCTTTCTTAAAAAGTGTGTATTGCTTTCAAATAGCAAATGATGTGAAAACATGTAGTAAAATGATTAAATGTCTATGAAGTGGAATCACAGATTGATCGCCAATTGTATTAATATACTTTAGCGAGTAAATGACTTTGCATTAGTATTATTTCTGTCTAGGGGGATTGAAATTCGTATGCCGGTTACGGGCAATTAATATCTAATTTTTGCTCATTGTTCAAACACTTACTATCAAGTCTCTTATTAGTTCCCTCAAAGCTGCGTTATTAGGGAAGTGTTTCTCTTCCATGAACTCTTCGTCTAGACCAACGTAGTACCGCGTCACGTCGTTCATAGTTTTCAACGTGATGCTGAATACGACGTTGTTGTCCCACGGATCGACCTTGAACGTTTCGGGAATGAAGGAATTCTCGACAATTTTGAAACACAGCGAGTAGTGCTGAGGAAAGAATCCCGCGCCTACGGATGTTAGTGAAGCGTGCATCCCTACGTTATTCTGCAAAATTCTATAGCGTATGGAATTCGGGTCGACGTTCTTGACATTTACGGTGATCGTGAATTGTTTCTTATATATATTACAGGTGAACGTTGGCAGTGAATACTTAGTACTAGTATCTAGAAACGTGCACGCGTTTTCCGCGCTAGTAGTCCTTAGCGTAGTGTCAATCGAGTCCTCTACATTTTCACTCTCCTGTTCAATTTTCGTGGCTGCGAACACTGTTTCACACTCTTCCATCAACTTGGACGTAGAGCTACTGTCCCCTATCACTTGACTCGGGCTACTTGAATCTTCCGCTGAATTACCATCACTGCCACGAGCTTCATCATCGTCCTCCTTGGTGCTGCTCGTCGAGTAGATCGGTATCGTTGGCTCGATAACTGGCAGTGTGACAACGAGCTTCTTGTGCTTCTGATCAAACTTGGCGTTACCACTGTCCCCGTCCACGCGATAAGGCAAAGGAAGCTTCAGCAGATACTTTGCAGGCTTGACGCTCTTCACGCTGAGAAAACGTTCTTGCACGTCTAAGGAAGCGTCGGTGGCAGTTTTCAGCAAGGGCAGGTCCACGGTAACGATCAGTGCCTTGGGTACTGTGGCGTTCATTTTCGCATATCTACTGGTGCCAAAGTCCTCCAGCTCCACGTTGGTTCGATACTTTATGGTAAACTTTGGCGTGACAAATTTGGTAACGCCTACCTGGTCCTTGTCCACTAGTTTCTTGTTGTAATACTTGGTAGGCGGCGAACGCTTTGGCACCTTCTCCGTACGCTTGAACTGTTGCTGCCTGCTCTCGTCGTAACTGGCCATCAGTTTCTGATAGATCTCCGGCTCTATGTCCAGTTCCTTCTCAGGCAGGTCCTTGGATGGCTTTCTGATCACAGTAGGATGACACACTCCCTTGTATCTTATGTGCGGGAACTTGATGTTCTGTCTATCTAGTTTGACCTATATGCGTGTGGCACGAGAAGGCAGGGGAGGAAAAAAAGAAACAGGCGATAAGAACAAATAGATAAGTCACTAACGTAGTTGTAACTGTTAGTACTAAAGAATCTCTTACGTTGAAATTATTCTCCACGCCGTCCATAGCCGTGTCGTTGATTAGCTTGCGAAGCTTGGCGTGCTTCAAAAATAGAAAAATCGTGTCAGGGTGAAATATCACGTCGAAGACTTTGCAACGCACATTCTTTTTGTCAAGGTCATCGCGTGGTGGTGTCAACATGTGCGGGATTGACCACTGTCCGCGATCACCTTGCTCGAACGACGGCTGTACGTGCTCACTGGTGCAAACGTTTATGAAGCATTTTCGATCGCCGTTCACGCTGGTTTTTATGACGTAACTCGGCCGCGGCGAGATGAACGTCACGTCGACGCCCCGTTTCTTCTCGAGCTGCGTGATCTCGTTCTGATAGACCTCCACGTTCTTCGGGTCGGTCACCTCCTCCACGTACTCGATCAACAGTTTACGAAACTCCTCCTTCTTCAGGCACTCGGTCAAGTTGTTCAACTCCTCTCTCGTCACGTCCAGTTCCTCCCAGTTCCGCCGATGTACGTCGTACGCGTCCATCTTTCTCACGGTCCCGGTCTAGTGTTTACAAATAAACTGGTAGATAGAACGATCGCGAAACGCTGCTGCCGCACCACGTGGATAGTTGCGCCACCACGCCGGCCGGTTTGATAGCGGCCGCTCGCGGAACTTCGCCGCGTCTAATGGCGTTCGCGCCACTCTTTTCTATTATCTCTCGGGTCGAGTGTCGCACTTTTCCTCGAAAGTTCGACGATCCGTTCGAAACGGAGCTGCCTTCGTAGTCTGTTCACTTCACCTTTGACAGGGGACTGGCGCGTCCGGTCGGATTTTCCACCACTAGCTCGTTTAACTTTGATATTTCCAATTATTCGCTGAATATTCTTGTTTGTCGTTTGAACAAATGCCGGTCTATCGAGCCAACGGTGACGTTGGTCGACGAAGGTCGATAGAAATATCGAACGGTGCGAGGAAGTAGAATCATCTTTCCGTGAGAAAGAGCTGCCTTTCACCGAGTGTGGCCATCCCACTAGTGGAATCATCGTTGTTGCATTTCAGAGAATTTACGACTGAGGCGAATGATATTGATGTAGTTGAATTAAGTATGTTCCTTTTCTTACGCACAGTATTTTTCACTTTGTAGTGACTTTAACATCTAATGGCGTATAATTGATTTAATTTCACATTCTACGTAATGGTTATTTGCAATTATTTTGTAATAGAGATACAATTAAACGAAATATTCTAAAGTTAAGTGACTCGACTCGAAATTTTTACGATTTTCGATTTTTTGGTTCGTCAGGGTGTCAATTAAGAGTTAATTTCGCTCAAATTAAATTTAAAGTTCCAAAAGTAAGTAATTTACGTAACGAGTCTTACATCCCTCTTATATTCATAATCCTTGTGGAGTAATTTAAATTTCTGTCGATATTTTTTTTTACAAAAAGCAACTATTTCCTGTTCAAGTAAACGATCGTGAAAACGTCCACGAAAGTATTAAATGAAACATTCTAAAATTAAACAGTCTAAATTTTCTGAGTTCTTTTACGGTTCTCACTGGTCTGTAAAAGTTTTGAGAATTTTCTTTCGCAGAGGAACTTTGAATTTTTAATATCTTTGCACTCGAGTTCTCTCTTTGGGTTGAGTCTCTCGGACGTTGATTTCGAAACAAACTCTGCGTACAGTGAACGTATGGCAAATGCACATGGAAAAGCCAAGACTCGCTTTTCGCGGGATCTACATACCCATTTGGTGGGAGTTGAGGCGAGAAGATGTGGGGATCAAGCAGTATGAAGTCTCTGACCCACTGACATTCTCTTTAGTTAGTTGGCAGAAACAAACGTCGATAATCCGTGAGTCAGACTCTCGATGTTCGTAATCAGGATCGTCAGTGAAGTAATTTTTGGAGAAAAGGAGAAGAGGTCGAGAGAGATTGTTAACAGGTCGAATCTCGTTTTGAGATGCGCTTAAGTCGCGGCTTATTGACCAGTGTCGCTGTTTGCTTCACAGTACTCTTCCTCCTTTTAAACTCGAGATCGACGGTGGAAACTGTTAACGATTCAGGAAGGATAGGGAAATCTAATGATGGGGAGCAGGAAATTCGTAAAGGCCAGGTAAATCGTATCTGATCAACGCTAGAACTATCGACGATTAAAGTTATGTTAATAACGCGAATTAAAAGCTACGAAACAAAATTACGAAAGTCAAATTTGTGATTAAAATTTTGATGTAATTTTATTCTGAATAAAATAGAAATTACTTGTAGGTATTCGTATCAGAGAAGTAGGAAAATTTTTTTTTAACGAATCTTCATAATTTGTACCTTTGTAAATTTCTGTGAAAAATTACGTACGAATTGGTCGTTTCGATCATTTTGATCTTGTGTTGTGACAAACAGTTCAAAATCAAAAGAAAGATAATTTCTTATTCTCTGTTATATTTCAAATATTTTCCATATTTAATGCAAATCGATATAGTAATGTTTGAAAGTAACATACTGGTTTAGATTACATTCGCGGTGAAAGTCCGCCAGTGAACGATAAATTATTGGAAAGTGATCTTTCCTCTTTACGATTCATAAACTGGTTCATTGAGCATGATAAAGAATCAGAGAGAAATATAATCTCTATGCATTTATGGAAAATTTGAAATAGAATATCCAGAACGTAATACATGATCTTTATAATATTTAATGAAATCTCTATCCAATTGTAAGTTTTACTCTCTTGCTTATCTGTTGAAAGAGAATCTTCTAAAAGTTTCGTAAAAACATTCTAGTCTGAAAGAATTTGCACAAACAGATTTATCACAGTCTATGTATTAACTTGAACTAGTCTATTGCAGTTACAATTATTAATAGAATTTATTTCGCAGACGTATCGACGCGTTACACCTTCCCTTGCGGAACTGGGTGTTCGTGAGAGTTTGCACAAAGTGAACGAGCACATTTTAATGTTGACTCGTGTACCTGACGCCGGGTCTGAGCTGTTAGTCTTGATTCTACAACGTCTGCAGGGTTACAATGCGTTTAAACATATACGGTTACCACCTGGTGATCATGGGCTTCTGTCAACTTTACAGGAGGTAATTGTTCTCGAGTTAACCCTTCCGAGAAGAATCTTTCTTCTTTCAAGATAACTATTCTCAACTGTGAAAAATGGGATTTAGAATAAATAAGAAAATATCAATATCTCATAGTCAATAGGCTTCGACAGTGAGAAATATGTACTTGTGTATATAAGAAGAAAGTTTATTTATTGAATATATTTAAATCATTAAAGTGGTAAAAAATATACAAAGCATTCTACACACAGCTACTACTTCTGCTTTGCTAGTTCGATTTTGTTGCAGTTATAACAAATTTTTCGATTTTGCCTGTTGCGAACGTCTCTTTTCGTTTGATTCTGTTGAATTGTTCGTCGATATTTCGGTAGAAAAATTTCCCATTTAATGCTGTTTAAAGTTGTTTTATTCTTCCGAACACTTGAAAGATCCACGAGAGAAAGGGAACGTCAAGTTTCCGAATTTCTTGGAAAACGGAAACTTATTTTTCAACGTCGCAGCTTCATGTTTTCTCACGCGTCAAAGTAAATGTAAAATTCAGTGAAATTTCAATTCAGTTCGCAGTACGACAGTCTGTGATCCGGAAGCGCATATAAGAACTCCTCTTTTTTTCCTTCTTCTTCGTGGACCCTTCGCTTCCAGATTCACTTCTACAAATTTTATCAATATTCTGACGGCAACGACACTATGTTCTCTTCGTGTGTTAACTTTTGAATCTACTAATTCTCGGCCTCACCTGTCTCAATAATTTCACCGCGAGTTGTATCGGTTCACGTCCGATTTAATCGTTCTGTTAATCTCTCGAAAGGGTTAAATGCTCATCAATTAACACGAAATAGCCATAGCGCCATTTCAAACGGCAACAACGACAGCCATGTTGATCTAACACCGAACAATAACGCAAGAAATATGAATCAGCCGCTGATTCATTGACGGCATAAATCTCTGGGATTTAATCATAGCGGCAGCTCTATACACGCGTAGTGGCCGTTACACTTTACGCTCGCGTCAGACTCGGTTTTCAGTGTTGCAATCGATGTTGTTTCGTGCCACTTTCGTCTTTCCAATTAAAGCAGCCGGGTCGGAAATTCCTATTTGGGGCATGTCTGTTTAAAGCTGCTGGTTACGTGAAATACGTGATAGAGAAGTTGATAAATATTAAGGGATTCGATCTGTTTCCGCTATATGGTATACAATCAATCATCTTGACGGTTTCCATGTCGGCGGGAACGCTTGGCTTCTCGTGTTCTCGGTTGTTTCGTCAGTTTGCACTTTTGGACTTTGGGCAGAGGAGAGAGGCTGCGTGTTTGGTTATAAATAATCCTGACGCCACGTTTTGTAGGAACTTTTGATTGAGGAGATCACTAATATCATAAGACAGGAGGCGATCCCTCTGAGCTTCGACGGGGATGTTAGATTTCTGAATTTTTCCAAGTTCGGACGAGAATCTCCGACGTTTGTCTCTCTAGTGAGAAATCCCGTAGGCGCGCGTAATTTACAGAGGTAAAAGTCAAGCTCCTTTCCGCCGGGATCTTTCTTTTTTTTTTATTTTCTATTTGCATCACGAAGCTCTGCGTGAATATTCGAGCGCGTGCGTTTGCCAATCATTTATTAATCTAATATATAAAAGAAACTTAAATTTCGGTACTGTATTCTACCGTTTCTAAGAGAGAAACTTTCCTTTGGATTTTTATTTGGCTGGAGACATTTGAAACGCTCGGTTTATAATAATAATATATGATAATGATGTTAACGATTATTTCGATGTTTTCAGCAATTCTTTAAATATTCCCACATTCAAAAAGGAGAGTTTCTTTTTCTTTTTTTTTAAACGGTGAAATTATATCATCAGAGTTTGTATATGCTATGATCTTGTACTCTGATATTTCATTATAATCAGCCAACATTAATCGAGAATAATTAAATATTTCGATCAAGGCAAATTACGAATGATTCGCCAAACGAATGTAATATTACACGTGGGACTGAAGTTGTGATGCAAACGAACGAATAACACTGATTTTGTTTAAACGTGATCGATCTGCTGCTTCTTAGATATCACGATGGACGGAGAAACGTGCTCGATGATAGAGCCATACCAACGTTTTGTGGCCAAGATCCTCGATGCACGTGAGTATTCAACGGATCCACATTGTCACTTATTTTTTACCTCTCTGCATCGGATATCAATTCTAGAGAGGTAAATAACAAGTGGGCGTTGGAACGAGCTAAAACGAACGTAGTTGAATACTATCCTGTCGTTGCTCTATTAGAGTACATGGAACGATCCATAGATGTATTGGAATACAAATTCCCATATTTCTTTCGAGGTGCTAAAGATAGTTACAGAAAGATTCGTGAGTAAACATGATGCGAATACAATGAGGTACAATTATTAACCAAGATTTCAGTCTCAATTCACGTTGATCCACATTCCATTTAGAGCCTGGAGGGAAACGCTTTTCCAGTCCAACGTTCAGGCTAAAGCCACGAGACGGAGATATTTTATTTAAGCTTCTTAAGGATGAAATAGAATTTTACCAGTGGCTAAAACATCGACTTTTAAATGAGACATTGATCGATGCTGATGAAAGCCGTTAATTATGAAATAGAGGATTACCTATAACTTACATCATGCTCTAGCGCTAGTTTCGTAATATACCAAAGATAATTGTCGTACTAAATATTTGAATAATAATAATTTCTTTGTACCGAGATAAATCGATTGAAAAGTTTTTGTTAGGGGAGAAGTGTGGTCGTAGATTATTCTCTTTTTGTACTTTTATTGTGAGAAAGCTGCTGTAAATTAAGAGTACGACGAAATGTCTTTTTTCAGGATTCTATTCCACGTCAGATTGGCAATAAAATTACAAATTATTAACAATTGCTCTTTACTTTAGTGAAAATTCTTAAAAAATATTGCAGTTGTTGGAAGATTTTTCTACTTCAATAAATCCCATGAAATTCTGTAATACGCTCGCAAGATATAATTGTATATTTCTATCTTTTTAGTAAGAATGACAATAATACTTTGTTTTGCAGTAGCAAGGATTTTAATTTTCCTCTGCTTGTTTGGCAAACGTTCTTAAAGAACGTAGGATACAGTAAGAGAAATGCTCCATTATCATAGTTTATAATTTATTAATTTTTACATTTTTATTATAAATCCATTATAACAATATGGTGTAATAATTCAAACACGTTCTCCGCGTCGAAGTTACGTCTTTGTAATAGCAATTCTCGATGTACAGTGCTACGTTGAAACATCCTCGTTGTGCATGATAGTCAAAACTTTTGTCGAGCAGTGATCATCGACGAGGAATAATTAGGGTACAAAAGTTGCGAGCCATGTCAAGTTGAACATATACGTAATTTATATCGTTTCCACTGTTATAATTATTCCACAATTTCAATCGGCAATTATTCGTTGAATATATTAATATGTAATATCTTTCAAAGCTGCTATCAATTACATTTAGCATACAATCAAAAAATATAAGTGTAAATATTTTCCTTACTTTAACTTTGTGCGGGAAATAAAGAAAGAACAATGCTCTTCTAATGTAAGTAGTAATTCGTTGATATTGAATTTTCACGGCGCCAAGTCCAATGAAATAACTATACAGTAACTGTATTATACACAACATTTGTCTTCGCAATTGCGACGATTTCGAAACGTGCGACACGCCGCTATCGAGGAAGAAGGTATTTTCATCAGGTTATTTATATCTCAAACGAATATATTTAGAATAAATATGGAAAAATGTACAAAGAAACAATTAGAAAAACGTACAATGTGATCGTGGTTATTCCGAGTGACAGAAGCAGCCGAGTGTGTTATTACATTGTCAAGCTCTTACCGTTTATTTACACTTGCTAGCCTTAGAAAATGCAAGTTGTCATGTATACGCGACGAAAGGTTACCAACATTGATACGATAGAATTGAAAAATTACTTCCAACCACACAAGCGTTTAGGATACACTCCCTCCCCCAAATCGTAAATAGAACATATAAAAATATTTATTCGAGCAGTCGAAATCCCAAGTGTTGCTATAAAAAACGCCAACTATCGTTATCAACGATGGTATTACCGTTTTACGACGTTTGTTTATGAGTTGAACGAAAAGGTGAGCTTCAAGGGCTGTCGGAAAGCGATTTCGATCGTTTCATGCGCATGTCGCGCGTACAACAGAACATGGCGATCATGTTGATGTACAAATGAACGAGCAACAACATGAGCAAAACGTGCCATCACTTCTTCTTCGCGTCCTTCAATCCAGCACCGGCGTTGAATTTGAAGAAGATGATGTCGCCGTCCTCGACCACGTAGTTGCGCCCCTGTTGCCTGTATTTTCCGGCAGCCTGTCGTAAAACGAAGATACAAATCAAGATTAAGATACAATACAGTCGAAATAATATCAGAGTGTGTTGATAGATCGGTGATTTTGATGAGATTAGGTTGGCCTTAATTTAAGTTAAATTAATTGATCAATTTTAATTTTATGATCAAACGAGCAATACAATCATGAGATAGATCACGGTGAAATGGCAGCAAGTGGTCGAATACTCTTACGGCCAACAGTGTATTTAGTATTATGATCAAACTGCGGATTGTTACTCAATTTTTTCGAGTATAGTTAGAATTATTTCCATTACTAAACATTGTAACAAGTATTTTTGTCTACTTTGTATATCCTGTGCATTTCTACATTCTTTAATTTTTCATAAATTCATATAAAACTCCGCAGTATTAATCATAGTACTAACCCTAAACTTTTATTATGCCAATATTAATATTATAATACTAATTACCAGACTGCGGAGTTCTACATAAATTCATATTTTTTAAAATATATGTAATTCAAGAAATAAAATCTTGATAAAATACACATAAACATTGAACATTATAGAATGTATATGTATATACTTTGAATACACTTTATGCACTTTTTCCTACGCAATTTCGCACTTTGAGATTTCCTGTGAATGTACAAAAATCCGCGGTCTGCTGAATTACAGTACTAACTTTTACTGCCGCTTCCGATCCTTCGTTCTTAAAATCGTCAAACTTCATAACCTCGGCCATGATGAATCCCTTCTCAAAGTCCGTGTGAATCTTTCCGGCAGCCTGAGGTGCTTTCGTGCCTTTCTGAAATGATAAACGATCCGCAGGTATAAATATCGAACGACATTCAAAAATACTCGCTCTAATTTATGAAATTAATTAACACTGAAGTTACGAGTTTACCTGAATGGTCCATGCTTTCACTTCATCGTGACCCGACGTGAAGAAGTACTGCAGTTGCAACGCTTTGTATCCTTGAACGATGATCTTGTCAAGGGCGCTAGAAACAATTCATAAGGTGAACACGAGAATCCTAGCTATGTTAGAAAAAGAAAAAGAAACAGAAAAGAAAAAAAAGAAAAAATGAATTCTTGGTTTAAAGAAAGGGTGGCGAAAGAAACAGGACCGTGGAATATGATTGTCTCGAACCGAATATCGTCTAATGACAGGGTAGAGGAAGAGGGGGGGCCATCCAGTTCCACGAGCCCCCGAACGAACATCGAGACTTCAGAGAATACACATAAAGCCGAACGACTTAATACCGCAATTTTATCACTCGAACTCTCAGTCCGAGATCAACTTTCGGGCCCGCCTCGGTTATCTGCGGTCTCGAAATAAAATCGCAGTAACTAGAAATCTTTCGTTTGTCCCCTGTGATTACCACGAGAGTGTGCGATCGTTTCGTGGGATCGACAAAATCTCTGACCATCGATCGTCTGATGATAGGTATCATTGGCAACTTTGATTTGATAGTTTTCCGCGTTCGACGTAATTAGGCAATTTCTTAGCTTTCGTCTAATTGCGATGTTAGATTCGCACGGCGAGGAATTCAATATCGTCGAGGCCGAACGTGGGTCTTCATTTTTGTTATTTCGTGAATTTTTATTCTTTTGTTACGGATCACGTATCAACGGATTTTGAATCATCGAAAATTTTGGACATATTCGTACGTGTAATAAAAATTTCATTTCAACAAATTTAATTGAACTTTTCATTGAATTTTATTATCGAATCTCTATCGATTTTATTATTAAAGCTGGTCTATGATCCAACGATGCTATTTGAGGATACAGTAAACGAAATTCATTTTCAATCAGAATTTTTTAATAAATTTGTTAATTTCGTTGAGTCTCTCACCGGCGAATGATGCGAAATACAAATGCGTAATATCAACCATCTTAAATTCTAATAATTTAATTAATTTCACGCGATAGTGTTCGAGGGATGTAGTATAGTAAACTAATATAAACTACGTACGATACTGCCCGAGGGTTAAAAAAATCCGTTACGAATTCCATCGAATTTACGCGCATCAACATGAGCTTGGTTTGCTCCGCGAATGACCCACTAGCCAACTGAACCGGTTGGTCCTCATTCCGCTCGTCCCCCTGGTTATACCCGGTGTGCCCGCGAGGGTAGGAGGGGTTTTTATGCAATTTTGCAAGAATTTGAATAGCCGTTCGTAAAAATATAATGCGCCGAGGGTAAAGACGACGCCGCAGTTTTTATTGGTCACTCTACGCGAAAGTAGGGCTGGTCTAGACAAGCTCGAGCCGTGAGAGCCCTCCATTGTTATTACCATCAGTAAACAACCTGGTGCATAGCTAAATGTGGGAACCTGAGTTTCTTAGGTTCTGAGGCAAGATGGGGGGGAACCAAGAGTTTACGAATTTTACGATTTTTTATGTTCGTCCTTATTCTTTACCTTTTGTATCTTCTTCCCCTCCCCTCTTAATTTGTGATGGACATAGGGTACTTATTTTGCCGGTCGTTTCATTTGCAAGTATAAAGATAGTTTTGTATTCGCTTGAAAAGTACGGGTGGAAATGTGTAATCAGGCTGCGGATTTTTTATGCATTGAGAAATTTTAAGGATGCAAGAGTACACGTGATATACGAAAATATGGGTGTAAAATATAGAGTACTTATTGTTAACGGGAAACAGATTTCTATCCAGGCTTCATCTTTTTAATTAAAAAGTTTTTTCTTACAAAATGGTGGTATTCTATGAGACGACAAAGTACAGTGGTTTCCTTTTCTGAAAATTTACATGCATAGTACACTCTACATATTGAATAGAGTATGAGAATTGTATAGAAAATTGCATGAATGTTCAAGAAAATGTTGAACATTTTTAAATTTCACGAATAACGTATGTATTTCCAGAAGTTCTTTCTTCTATCAAGTATTAATTAGAAATACTCGAATATCTCAGAAATACTCCAAAAATATGAATGATAAAAAAAATTACAAGAGGACTATTATAATCTTACTTATGATCATTAATTAGTCCGCTTACTTAAAGTTACAAAAGTAGCTCTATCAGGCTCTAAAGTTTAATTGTATTGCATAAAAATCCGTAGCCTGTACGTAACAAATTATAGATAGTTTCACCCACCTAGTAACTTTGTTTTCTTCTAAATATTTCGCACGTTCTGCATCATCCATATCGAGTAGTTTGTTCTCAAAAGCTCCGCTGAATGGGATTAAAACAGCTCCTGGATCGTTTTTATCCACCCACTCTTTAATTTTTATTAACCTGAAATTTAGTAGGAGTGACGAAATGTGATGAAGGGAATTGATACGATAACGTATTAATTAATCGACAGTCGTGTAAAGTTTCATATTAATAATAAACATAAATCCGAGATAACAGAAATTGAGACGTGTACGTACCATTTATTCTTTTTACGTATGTAATCCTTCTCAGACAGATTAACCAAATAAATAACTGGCTTCGACGTGAGGAATAAATATTTATTGAGCACCTCGATCTGAAAATAGGCGAGAACAAAGGATTAATAAGGTCTTGAAAATTTTCGTTTGCAAAGCAGTGCGATTTTGCTTACGTCAGTGGCACTCCAATCGGCAAACCTGATATGCCTCTTTTCATCCACCATTACACCTTTCACTTTCAATAATGTATCCTGTGCATAAAAACACCCGATTATATCTATAACCATTAGCTTTCTCCGACGACTCGTTTCTGTCGTTTCTACTTCTAATAAAAAAAGTATTATAAAATCTCGAGTCGAGAAAAAATCTTAGTTCCGCTTGCAGTCATTCTACGATCGTGTGTGTTATGTAAAATAGTTTGAAATTTTATTTACACTACCGAGAAATTGGACTGCCGTGATTATATATTAGTCAAATCTGGAACAAATTTCAAAATGCGAAACAAGAAATTTTAAAATATTTAATAGAATATAGTTGCTCACGGAAATATTCGAACGCACGGAATTTTTTTAAATAATATATTGTGTATATTATAAAACGTATTATATTCCAGAAGATTGATTTGATTTTATTGTAATAGTAAAATATTTTTACAAATTGTTTCTATCCACGTTCGAATACTTCCGTATGTACATACACATCCATCTCGTAATTTTTATACGTTCCATTTTCAAATTTGTTCATCGTAATACTCATACTTTTACTGTGAAATTTCAGTACGTTTGCACCGATATAAAAAGATGATCTCTTTCATAACGATCATTCAAATATTTTCGCGAGCCCGCCCGTATGTATAATACTTACGTAAGTGAGAGCACATAACGAGGTGAAATAATTCCAACCGATCGAACCGTGATTATAGGACTGTTACACTAACAAAACGCCTGTCCATTAGTTTGACCGAGAGAAGACGGGAGAAGACCTAGCCGTCGACTCTCGCAAAGTTTCAGCAAATTGCTAAAGTCTGGAAACTAGAGAGGAGGGTAGAGATCGGAAATTGCCGTGGGTCTCAATCCACGGAAAGAGGGTAATTCGATTGATTCGTTCTAGGAAGCAGTGTACCGACCGCGCTCGCGCTCTCTCTTAATTTCCTCGGTAATTTCGTTCAGACTCTGCTCGTACGCCTCCATTTACAAATGATTTCCATCGTTTTCTTTCTTTCTTTCTTTCTTTTTTTCTCTCTTTCGCGGACGAGTTTCTTTAAACGTCCCTAATGTGTTTCTTTCGGCGCGCGTTTGCGCGCAGAGATCAACGACGTCGAGGGACACGAAATCATCGTCAAAAGTAAATGAATACTTACGTATTCAGGCTTGAGTTTCTTGTCGTTGCCTCGGACAACGAGCTTCTCCAGCTTTTCGAGATGTCCGTTTAAAAATTCGATATCTTTCAGTCGTAGCTCCTCGCTGATTATCTCGAGATCCCTCACGGGATTCACGTCTCCTTCCACGTGAGTCACGTCGTCATCGTCGAATGCTCCTGCGTACAGATTATCGAGAATGTGATATACTATTGGAGTGTCAGGCTTGCCGCTACTGTTGTCGCATCTTTTCCAACAACTTTGTTAGTCGTGCTAGCATAAGGATGTATTATGATATTAATGCAATGTTACAGTTATATATTATAATTATACAATATGGATGTAATTATGTAATATATATTTATTACGTGTATAATTTTATAAATATTCAAAATATTTCTATCATGTTCATCCTCTGTGTATATAGTAAAATCAACACTAGTAAGAACGAATTTATACGTGTCGAATCGTATATTTACGCTGGACTTACGACAAAGATGAAAAATTCCGTCGCAGGCGTTGATGTGCGATAGGAAATTGTTTCCCAAACCTTGTCCCTCCGACGCCCCTTTCACCAAACCGGCGATGTCCACGACGTTCAAGAAAGCTGGAACCTTGCTGGAAAGTACACGTCTCGTTGTGATTTTTCGTTCGTTTGACATTAATCGAATGCGAATTGGAGAAGTTGTTTTCGTGCAGAGATTGGGAAAAATCCAAGACTTTAGTAAAGTTACACTTCGTTCATATTTTACTTCGTGCATATGTTTACTTTCAATAATATAATAATGATTTCTATATAATATAATATAGAAATTTTACATTATGAATGTGTGAGTATATATACACATGTAACATTACAATCATACAATATTGATAATTATACTATAATGTAAATTTGTGATTTACATTTACGTAGAGTATCATTGTGATTTCTCAACTAACGGAAAACTTTGTCTATTCCCCAAGTCTATTCAAAATTGCCTGACAGATCAAATTTCTCGTCGAATTATTCGAAATGTAAGTTCTTCAAAAGTATGTGAAGCCTTGTTTCTTAAGCCACGGTGTCACGGTGTCTTGCAAACTCGAAAATGTCACGGTGACTGCTCGAAACGAGCTCCGCAACTTCTGCAAAATCTGCACTCTGCCAGGTTTTTGCACGCGAACGTCCCTCCAATTGAAACGAGAGAGGGGGTGCGTTGCAGCGGCAACGAGCTGTATTTAAATGCTAATGCAAGTAGCGTCATTAAACAATTAGCCTTTGAAGAGAGGCGTTAGTAAAATGAGCAAGAAGGGGGAACACGCCGCCACGTTAGATGGCTTTCATTAGGGATCGTTGAATCATCTGACACGTGTGTGACAACTATTCGGCGCCACACGCACGACGACAACGACGACGACGACACACTGTTCCAGAGTTGGATGACCAGGATGCTCTTTGATCCGACATCGTGCCGCGTTTTAATCTCCTCTGAATTAGTAGAATTCAGAGCAAGCACGTGTCGCGTAAAGTAAAGTAAACTTCGCTCGTTTTTCATTCGACGTATAATTACTCGTTATTTCATTGTTACCTGATTGCAACAGCTCGAAGTTCTTAGCAACAATACTTTTATACCGTCGACTTTGGTTAAGTCAGGCTTCGTTTACCAGGTGGAGCCAGGTGTTAAAGAATATTTCCAAACCACCAGAAGCAGAGTGTACGCTGTGTTTTCCAACCCTCGTGTGATTCAGCTGCTTTGTACATTCCAATCTCATCGTGTCAACGAGCCAGCGTGATAACGCGAGCCACGGTAAACGCGGCTTTCATCCACAGTTACGTTGATGCACACCATGCCACACGGCATGTATAGCGCGGCCCTCCCGTGTGTTTCGTTAGCAAATGTCGGGTGAAATTTTCATCAAATTCTTCTCGCGAAATTCAAAACAACAGACGGCGCGTAAATTGCGACTGCAGTTTGATAAAATTTGAAACGAATCTGTAAATGTACGTGGAAGTTATTGAAACGTATAGCCGGGTAAAATATGAAAAATATATTTTGCGAAATAGATGCTTATTGATGTAATGAATTGTGGCCGTACACGTAATATTCGTGAAAAGTTTCACTGTTAAGTGCAAAAATTTTTTTTTTTTTGAGCAACTGTATATTCGTGTGAAACATCTTGTAGTTTCTATACACATTTTTAAATTTGTTTCAAGCTTTTAAAATGTTTCACACATTAAAAAAAAAAAAAAAAAAAAAAAAAAAATAGTGAAACTTTACGATACAATGAAGCTTTTATTTATTATATTTTACGAAAGGTCATTTAAATCCCTAAAAATTCACTGTTTCATGCCTGTAAAGTTTCTAACAAAAATTACAAATTGGTCATTTTGGTTACTTTCGTAGTTCTAGCGTGGAAAAGTGTTAAATATATTATATGGTAAGCGAGCGAAGAAAGAGATGCGCGAAGTCGGTTGATATTCAACATGGGCTGTGCGTCGCGTAGACGAATTTCGTCGGATCTGCATTGCAGATCACGTACCGCTTTCTCTCGTCCCCATATCCCTGCCTTGTGGAAATAAAAGCGAAGAAGCATGGAAATGTCAATGGTTATTCCAACTCGTTTCCCACTGCGAGGGTGCATTTTCTGCTAGACTCGTTATTTTCATTCGGAGACACAATGGTGACGCAGCGTAGGAGATATTTGTTGTTTCGATCGAACGATATTTAGACAGTATGTGATGGGTTTGCTACGTACCTAGCTGGCTTGAAATATTCGCACAGGTAATCGAATCTCGTGTCAGGGACTGGTACGCGACGTGCTGGAGGAAAAAAGGTCTAGTTAGACGGTGAATATTTTGAATTTTTTTAAAAAATAATATTTATATGTCAATTTCATTCGTGATATTCGTAATTTTCATTATATGTGCTGATGTAATGGATAAAAAGTAACATTTGATTTGTAATCAAATTTAAATGTCACTAATAAAATTGTAAAACGTTCGAAGATTGATTAAAATTTGGAATAAGAAATAATAGGAATGCTAATGAAAACATCGAATAAATGAAATTTTTCTTAAACATAACTCGTCGAAGCAAGAGGTAAAAAACGCAATATCATCTACTCTTAAATTATTTATTGGACTGGGATACGAGATCTTCCAATGATACTTAAATCCTATTAAAATACAAACAATACAAATCCGATGTGGATTCCATTTGGAATGAAAAATAGCAGAATGTAAAAGGAGAAAGAAATTATTAGAGATTAAGGTAACATATTGAGACAAGTACGAAATAATAGAATGTATGCTTCCTATTTACAAATTGTTTCATCGTCGTCCAGAGATTCGTCATAGGGATCGATTAAAATCTGCGTTGGAGACGTTCGACGAAATACAATCGAGATAGATCGCGGTAGATGAGAAGATGTGGCAGGCTGGTCTTCGTACACGGGTATCTGTACAAAAGGGTTCAACATCTTCTTCATCGTTTTCGTCGCTATTTTGATCATTCTTTCACGACTGTAGATCCTGTCGCTAATTGCTTTGTACAACTGGCACTCTTTCAGAGCGCAGGACGCATTCCGAGCCTTCAGATACACGCCGATGTGAACAGCGGCGGTGGCCGAGGGCGACAAACCTGGTAGTTTCGGTCTGTCGACGCTGATCTGGTTCACAGCCTCGATTATCATCTTCGAGACCGTCTGCTCCAGGTAGCCGAGATCCGGCAGAGATTTCACGTCGATCTCTGGCAGCCTGCGTAGAAATTTAATCTCGGTGTTGTCGTATTTACCGGGTTGCGCCAGAAATTTATCGCGACAGCCTTCCGTGCAAAACAGATACAAGTTGTCCCTGTAGAGAACTGCCGTGGTCAACTCGCCTCTCGCGAGTTGGCGACTCGGCAAGCTGTCCACGTACGTCACCAAGCAAAATCCTTCGACTCGCAAACGTTTGGCCCAGCACGGGTGTTCCAAGTCAATCGTTTCGGTCAAAACTCGCGGACGATCTTCCGGGGGATACGAGGTGTTCACTGGTGGTAGATACTTTCTCGGATCTTGGATAAATCGTTGCATATGCTGCGAACAGATCCAGTAAAAGTGTTCTCGGTACTGGACCATCCCTTCGTGATCGGGTGGTCCCGAAGCTTTCATCGTGTTCTCGTAGTACAGGCAAAGGGGACAGTAAGACTCGAATCGGCTCTGCCTCGTTCTGAACTCGTACGACGAGACGCTCATGTATCTGAGACTGTGGACTTTGTCGTAGTCGCTTTCGCGAAAGTACGATCTGATGATCGCGTATCTCGAGCACACGTGTCTGTCAGCCACGGTCCACACGTACCACGCGCACTTGGTCGCGTCTAACTCGACCACGTTCTGCGTGAAACGCTTCAACCAAGCTCTGAAATCCTGCTGATCGGCCTCCCAGATGGCGAAACGACGAGAGAGAAAGCTGCTCGAGAAGTTGGCTGGCTTCGACACTCGATCGGCTTCCCGAGACAGACACTCGAGAGAAAAATTCAAGTTCGCCTTCAGATCGAGGATGATCATCGGCTGAAGACCCAGGAACGTTAGTTCCTCGAACTCTCTGCGACTCGAAGGGAAACCGTCGAGCACGAAGCCCTGAGAGACCGCGTCAGGATCGATGGAATACATTTCAACAGCGCGGAGCACACACTCGGTTGGAACCGTTCGTCCTTTGCGCAGAGAGGACTCGCTCGATCGAGCGGATTCTGTCCAAGGGAAGTGTTCGACGACGTGACGCAACGCCTCGCCTCGCGTTATCACTTTCACGTTGTACTTGCTTGCAAATCGTCGAGCGAGAGTCGTCTTGCCACATTTTGGCGGGCCGACGATGGACAGTCGAAATGGAACGACTGGCGCGCGAGAATCTTGCTCGAGGTATTTGAACGGGCTCTTCACAAACTCGGTTTGCGCGTCTTTGCCGGCGGTGAAGTAAACGAACTGCCTGTGCACGACTGGATGGATCTCCCGAGCAGACTCCGATGGTAGAAACATCTGCAACGGAACCTTGTTTTCACGCAGTTGCACGGGACACCAGCGGCCGAATGAACTCAGTAGATAGTAACCGCGATCGAGAAGAGCGTCAGCCGTTTCCAGATCGATCGTGTGAATCCTCTCGAGGACAGACACGTGTCGACGAACGTACGGCTCGAGAGTTCTCATCACTCTCAACAGGACACTCCTCACGTCGGCCTCAGCGTCCAGCACGATGTACGGTATCGATTCGTTCTTTAAAATGTCGCGAGTAGCAGCTAGTTTCCGAGACTCGGTCTCGTACTTGTCGAAAAACTCCCGCTCGATCCTCCGCTCGGCTGTTTCGAAATCTTCCCAGTCGGTAAACAGGACAGGTTCGGGATTCTCCTGGTACCAGGTTTCCTCCAGTTCAAACTTTCTCACTTGCATCTCCTCCGACTCGACGTCTTCGCCCAACACGACGTAGTCTTCCTCTTCAATTTCGTAATATTCACCACGAAGATCATCGTCCTCCTCTCCAACAGCTCTTCCTCGGGCAGTTAATTGACTCAACATTTCCTTCACCCAGGCATCTCGGTCTCTCTCGTAATTCTCAAGCTCAGTCGCGTGTCTGAGTTGTTCCACGCGTTTCCTCTCTTCCATATTTGTCTGCCAGGACTCGAGCAACCGAGGGATCACTCTCTCGGACGCTGTTTCTCTGCCGCAGCCAAGTTCAACGATCACCTCGGGCACCGTGTAACTCTTCAACGCTGTTGCCACGTCCTGCGGACAGCTCGGAAACTGATCGAACACGATGCCGCACTGGCTGTACGGTCGTTGGAAAAACTTCAACAGGCATTCACCGTGCACTCTTTCGGGGAGGGTACCTCCGTCCTTCCAGTAATTTCGAACGAACGTCAAAATTGTGTCGGACTCGCTGTTGTATCTCTCGTCTTTCAAATCCTCTGGCAACTCGACCTCGTCTGGAAGTTCGTTCGACAAGACGAGAACATCTCTGTAAGAAAGTGGCTGCATCCCGCGAGACTGCATGTACGTGGTGAAACAGTGGAGATAGTCGACGTGGGCCAGACCGTATTCTCGGGATATCGCGTCAGACAGCGTGCTTTTCCCACTTCCTGGCGGACCAACGATGCTCACGCGAAGGGGCGGAATTACAGACAAAGGCTTTCTCAACGGTAGACCTAGTTTTTGCGGATCGCGAACAAATTCTTCGAGAGCAGCGGGACTAGACAAGTGGTATATCTTGTCCATGAAAATTGCACCGTACTCCTCTTTGCCCTTCCAAAACACGTTGTACCTCAACAACGCCACTGGACAGTAGTAACTGGTGTCTCCGAATCGACGATTATCTTCCTTGGGAGTCAATTCTACCTCCGTTGTTTCTTTCCCGCCTTCTCTCTCTTCCTCTTCCTCCTCCTCGATGTTTTCTGTGTCAGTCATGCCGATATACTCCGCGAGGTCTCTCTCCCTCTCCTTCTCCTCTTCGCTCATCACTCTTGCCTTCGCCTTGTAACGATCTTTAATCCCATCTATAACGTACTTCGAAACGTCGGTTATCTTACCGACGTTGCAAGCGACAAAATTCCTGCAATCATCCGTCACTCGTTCTCTCATCGTTTCCCAGTCTAATTGAAACTTCTGCACGTGCCTGATGTATTCGACCAACGTTTCTGCTTCTCCCTGGTTTCCTTCAGCATCGAGATCTTCCAAATTCCAAGTTTCCTCGAACTCTTCACCGTCCACGCTACCGCGAATCTCGCGCCACTTTGACAGCAGATAATCGTAGGGATCGTCGTCGAACAAGAGAATCGCGTCCTCGAAGGTAATCTCTGAATCATCGACGATCGTCTTCCAGGTATCGATATTCGGATACAAACCATCCACTATGTAGCCACCGTCTCTCCAGACCTCGACGTCCACCTCTTCCCTCGGAACGTTTCTCACGGCTTCCACGATCGACTCGTCGCTCGGCTCGTCCATCTCTTTCACGTTGATCACCGTACCTTTCAAAACTCGCGCCAATTCGCTGCAGAGCGCCGACTTGCCGGAGTAATCAGGCCCAAACACCACGATCTTGCACGTCGGTCTGGGCGAGAACGGACGGACGAACGTTCTTGGATTCTCCACGAACAGATGGACCGCCTCGTTCGACGAGAGAAAGAAGATCTTGTTCATGAATCGAACCGCGTGTCTCGCGAGACCATCCACGGTCCTGCCTCTCGCCAATTCCACCGGACAGAGGAAACCCCAAGGCGAGAGTTCCCAGGGGAACAACGGCGAGACAGTCTCTCTGTTCGTCAGCTGTTGAAACGCTTCTTCGTTCGACTTGTCGTCGAATTCGTCCGCGACCACCGGCGACTCGCCCTCGAACCCCAACGCGGTGTGATCCGTGAATCTTCTCGGAAGAATCACGCGCAACAACGGCAACGTGCGTGTCCTCGTAACGAAGATCTGAAACATGAACGACATCGACGCGCGACCATCCACGCGAATGACGTTTTGAGGATTGTGCAGTAGAATCCATTTCTCGATCGTGGGCATCGCCAGACGTTTGTACAGCGCGCACTGCCATTTGGCGTTCGATCTTTCATCGGACGGACGTTTCAACAGATATTTCCCTTGTCGTTCCTCGTTCGTTAATTTCTGATACAGCCCGAAGGATACGTCGTTCGCGCCGTTCTCCATTCTGTTGCGAGAGAACAACGTTTCGATGCGTTTGTTGTTCGTGTCGACGAAGCTCGTGTCCACGATGCAACCGGTTGCCGGATCCAGACGGAGGTGTTCGCGCTTCGTCAGCACGTCCTCGTCGGGACACATCGCGTAGACGATTACCGACGGTTTTATGGGCCACGTGGTGAATATATCCTCGATCTGACTTGAAACGAAGTCCTCGTAATTGGAACTCACGACGCACAATTTGTTGCCTGCTACTTGGTCGACGGTTGAAGCATTTTTACTATTGTTCGATACGTTGCAAGTTCCAGAAATGAACAAGTTCTGCTCCTTCGCCGTGACTACGTTCGGACAAGAAGAGTAATCGAGCGTCGCGTTTGGAATCAGCGGTAACCCCTCCACCACGTATCCTCTGTGAAACACGTCTCTTCGGTTAAGCCGAGCCGCTATCAAATTCGCGATCACATCCGGACCCAAAGATCCCCCTTCCTTCAAAACATCCGCCATGAGTTTACCTCTGTCGCTGTTTCGTTGGATCTCCTGCTTTATCAGTGGCAACGGTGAAATCAGAATCGAGTTCCACGAGTCTGCTATCGTCGTCGCGAGTTTCGTCGTGTTCAAGCCAGGCTTGCCGAAAATCGCGAAACAAGTCGGCTCGCTCGCCAGATACTTGTCCCTTGCGTTTCTCTCGCTATACGGGTCGCGAGTCTCGTGTGGTTCCTCGGAAGGTTCGAAGTGCGGTCGAACGTTCCCATACTCCCTCGATTGACACTTGCCAGTGAATCTGGCGAATGGATTTGAATCCTCGTGGTAGGCGTAGTAAGAGTTTGCCTTCGGGTAGACGCAGGGACTCGGTTTCGGCCAAGGGGGCGAATACTCCTCGCGAGGCTGCCCTTTGACGAATCGGAGGAAACTTTTCTTCGTAATGAACGACGCGTCCGCGTAAAACTTCTCATCTCTGCGCTCGTCTCTCTTCTCGCGACGTGACGTTTTGTCACACATCGTCGAACGTGTTTCATTTCGAGGTTACCGTTGTAAATCTTCCGCGCAAGATTCGCCGACAAATGATAGTTGCGGTTTAGGCGCGAGTCGCGAGCGAGATGATTAGGTTAGCGCAGATGAAATATTGTCATGCTTTCTACAGGATGAAACTTTCATTGAACTTGGCGTACTCTTCATAAAAATATATATATTTCCCAACGACTGTTCCGTTTTGTTATCTCAGATGTTCAAAAATTATTAATTTCATTATTCATTTATAAATCTGTGTAAAATAATTGTAGATAGCATAGAACACACGCATAACCTTCGTTTAAATATAAAATTTTTTTGTTTAAGAAATTTCAAGTGTTTCTCCCAATTGAAGAATCGTACGAATATCTAGAATTGATATTGCAACAACGAAACGAATTTCTTCTTTTCTTTTTTTTTTTTTTTAACAATGATATGGTTGATAATTCGCTAACAAAATTTAGTGAGCAGCATTTGTGCTTTAATAAGTGCGAGTATTTGTACGTTTACGATCATTATCGCGCAACACGTATATAATACGTACAAAAATTTGCTCGTTGAAAAATACAAACTTGCAAAATAGCATAAAAATCGGTAATAAAGAAAAATGTGGATACTTATTTTCATTTGGCTCGATGGTGCAGAATGGAAAGTTCTCGGCAGTCGCCTGGCTTTTCGTGAGAACGTTGAAGAACGTTGATTTTCCAACGTTGGGTATACCCACGATGCCAACTTTCAGATTAGTGCCCACGCGGCCGATAAGTGGTTTCCTTTCAGGCTCTTCGATTTTCTTCGGCGCCATTCTACGACAGAAACATCACGGATCTATCCTCAGTGCGCTCGTTCAGGTCTGTGGAATTTTTTATCATTAATATCGATTTCGAGAATTCGACACCGGATGGAAGCAATCCATTGGTTGATACCAGGGTTCCATTTTTTATCACGCTATGAAAAATTCGCAACAGGCTCATTGTCTACGATCAAATAAAGATAACAGCATATATAAAGTTACATCCTTCTTGTGAAAATGACCTCGTAATACGTTCATTGATGCTACGATCGAACATTCGTTTCGACACTGTTCGATTCACAACGACCAAAGTGAAGTATTCACCGATGCCTCTTCGTCTACGTAACTACCATTGGCATTCAGAAACGACCGTGTATACCGCAAGGGATGAGAAGAAGGGGTGGATGTATCGGGATCAAAACGAAAATGATCGAACGTGAATCGAGCACGCCCTCGTTTCCCCCAACCCGCGGAATCCTTAACAGTCCACCGTGTTTCACCTACCTAATGCACGCAGTGCCCCACGGCCCTCGCCACATACTTGGAACAAAATCAAGGCAACGCGCGCGCGCGCGCGCGAGAGAGAGAGAGAGAGAGAAAGAGGAAAGAGGAAAATCGAGAGAAAGAAAGGAAGAAAGGGTCGGCCTTCTCAAACATCGGGTCGCTCTCGAGCGCTCGGGGTGACTAATTATATTAATGCGGACGGCACATCAAGCGATTGCTGTGTTTACCGCAAGATTGCCTCCCTTCTTCTTTCTCTTCATCTTTCGTTTGCTGTAGCACGAACCGGCCCGCGCCATATCAAAAGGATGAAACAGGTACTACGCGCGAGGACGCCTACGGGAGGCGACGATAGAGAGAAAGAGGAGGCGAACGAAAAGCAGCGTAGAATTCAACGAGAAAAGGAAGAAGGGACGAGACGAGAAAGAGAGAGAGAGAGGTTGTTGAATTCTCCCCGAGAGCGAAGATGCGAAGGAGGAGGAATACGTCTGTTGAGTAAGGGGACCGACGATTACTGGGCACCAAAGCCGCGAATCACCGGCATCACGCCGGGAATCTGCAACCGCGCCTTAGGCCGCCAATCCGCCACCGACTTTGCGATTCTTCTTCTTCTCCTCTCTCTCTCTCTCTCTCTCTCTCTCTCTCTCTCTTTCACTTCACCCCTTTTCCTCTTGTTCCTTCTTTCGCAGCGTCAACCATCGCGACCGGCCTCCCTCTTCCTCTTTCTTCCCATCGTCTTCTCCATCTCCAAAACTATCCAGCGCGTTTAACTCGAAACCGCGCCACCATCTCTCGTCCCTCTCTCGTCTCGGGAAATTTGCAAATTACGATAATGGAAGAGAAGAGAAGAAAGGACCCGCCCGCGCGATGCTACTCAACAGCCGCCACGGCGCCGTGGTATCGCCGTCGCCTCTTAGTTTCACGACGGATCACAAGTACCTTAGTACAATTTACAATTCCACTTTTCCCTCAGTGTGAAATGTCGTAAGATTTCATCTGTCGTTTGCTATCAAAATATGCGCCCCAACTTGACCTGAATATAATTGATAACAGACAATATTGAAAAACAATGGATGGTACACGTGTATCGTCGTGTGTCAAGTAGCTTAATTTGATCGTTGTGTCTTCAATCACGAACATTCGAATCTCAGTTTCCAGGAACGATTTCACGTTTTTCTAAGAAGGCGATTCGAAGTGATAGCCCTACCTGTGCTTTATCAATTTTACCCCTTTTATTTCTGCTGTCTCCATTTCTATATTCAAAAATATAGCGGAAAAAAATAGAAACGATGATTGTCAGATTTAGAATTAATCGTGTAAAACGCGCGGAACCGCGGGTCTTCAGATTTTCAATTCGAAAGAGGCGCCAATCTTTAATACCGCGGCGAGCGCATTGGGGGAGCTATAAATTTAGGTACATTACACAGTGCTGCCTCGCAGCACTAGGTTTTGGAACCAGCCACGAGATGCACACTAGATCTTAACCTTACTTTTTAAAAAAGGAGAACGAGTTATTTATAGATTGTTAACTTTAACAATTTTCGAGTGCACGTTTTTCGACGTTCCTGCGGCACGCCCGAGTCGTTCGTCCGTGCGTGAGAGCCACGTGTATGTTTCTATCAGTGGAACCGAACATTGCATCATTCTTGCACACGCATATTCGTTGCCTGCCTCTGGGGCAATTCGACGAACGTTTGTTGTAATAACGTTGTCCTCGCTCGTTACTGGAATCACTGGGTGATTAATTATCGATCAAATACCTTGACTGTTCTTCGTACTTCTCTCCTAGGTAAATATCACTGCACAACGCGTGGCAAGGAAAGGAACACACAGCACTGCACTGACGTCACGCGTTCGACCGGCCTTTGATAGTGAAACAGGGATCTGCATTACCAGCTAAGAACTTTGTCGATTGCCAGGAAAAAAAGAGGCAATCGAAGGGACAGCAAATTGCAATGAAAAGCGAATTTTTCATTCTCAAATGGCCTCGTTAGGGTTACAGACGTTTGTAAAAATCCTCATTGAATTACTAAAATTTTTGGGTATTTTACTTTTCTGATAAAATTCAATTCAGTTGAAAATTTCCAAATTCAGTAATTTAATCTTAGATTTGGACGAACTGAGTTAATCATGGCTTGTAGCACTGTACACTTTCCATTTTTCTTCTTTCTTTATTATATGTAATATGTACTCTTGCATACTATTTCTGGATGTGCGGTTATTTCGTAATTTTTTCTTGAAACGATTTCTTAATTCATCCCAGCAACTTGATCTCTCGAAGCGTGTCTATTCGCAGACGAGTTCGATGTGATTCTAGGAATAGCTTTGCGAAATGAAACGCCGCTTTTAATCCGCGGAAGAAAAAGGGGTCATCAGAAGAGGGTTGATTGCAATGCTTTCGTAGAAACCATAAACACGCACACTTCTTTCCCAACAAAATGTGCAAAACCTCCTCAAAAGTCGAAAAATACTCGCGATTGAAATCACAGCCTGGCGGAAATAATGTTGTGCTAGTGAAATAATACCAGCATTTCTCATTGCAAATGATCAGAACAAGTATAAAATGTATAGCAAAATGTATATATATATCTGCTCTGTTACATAGATAATTATAATTATAATCGTGCGATGGTGATAAAATAATAAATACGAAAAATATTAATAAGAAAGAATGCAGTGTTATGAATAGATTGTGTACATTTAGAGTGCATGTTTAATAACTTTCTAGTTATACGATGATACAGAAAAACTTTAGAAGCATTTTTTTTTTCGTCAAATAGTATTTTTTTTTTTAAACATATAAAATTTAAAGATTTATTTAACCCCTGTGGGTTCGGGGGTAGAATAGACCCAACGTAGTCCCTGCGTGTTGTAAAAGGCGACTAAAAGGGAAACTCATTTCTAGACTGTGGATTCATAGAAAATTTTAGAGTGAGGCTGTCCAAAATTCTATTCGTTCCGCTATATTTTCAAAGCTTGCATAAAATTCTGCAGTGTAGTGAATGAATGAACATATACTCTTGCAATAAGGAAATAAAATCTACATCGAGATCTGCTTCATACATTTGATATTACTTTGAATATTTCCTACATTCTTGCATATTACTTGGATTCTGTATATTTTCGCATTTTCTAATAAATTACGAAGCAAAGAGAATCGCAACAAAATAGAGACTTCACTTATAAATTCTAAACTTGGAAATTTTAGAGACTTTGGGCATAGAGACTTCGTCCTTGCGTTTCCGTAAACGCATAAACATCCGTAATCTAATAAATTACGAAGCAAAGAGAATCGCAACAAAATAGAGACTTCACTTATAAATTCTAAACTTGGAAATTTTAGAGACTTTGGGCATAGAGACTTCGTCCTTGCGTTTCCGTAAACGCATAAACATCCGTAATCTAATAAATTACGAAGCAAAGAGAATCACAACAAAATAGAGACTTCACTTATAAATTCTAAACTTGGAAATTTTAGAGACTTTGGGCATAGAGACTTCGTCCTTGCGTTTCCGTAAACGCATAAACATCCGTAATCTAATAAATTACGAAGCAAAGAGAATCACAACAAAATAGAGACTTCACTTATAAATTCTAAACTTGGAAATTTTAGAGACTTTGGGCATAGAGACTTCATCCTTGCGTTTCCGTAAACGCATAAACATCCGTAATCTAATAAATTACGAAGCAAAGAGAATCACAATAAAATAGAGACTTCACTTATAAATTCTAAACTTGAAAATTTTAGAGACTTCGTCCTTTAAATTATTACACAAAGAGCACATTACCTTGCGTATTCCCTCTATTTTTGCATTCAGTCTAGCAATTACGAGAACAAAGAAATAAAATTTGTCATTTCAGTAGCTTGCTAATTACAGGTGTGCGTTCGCGTTTCGTATACTTGCAATCCATTACATAACGCAACGTCCATATAAAGAAGAACGTCGTGCCTCGAAAATACGACCGTTATTACAGTCTAATTCGACGGTTGTGCGTATGTGATGGGAACGCGCGTCGTGGATCACCGGAGGGTCGTAATTCGAAGGATAATATTAAGATTGCCTCAAAATGAAAAAAAGAAAAAAGAAAAAAAAGGAGATGAAAGAAAAGGACGATCATGCGTGTGTATGTGCATGTGTGTGTTTGTGTGCTTGTCTTTATGTCTGGCCTTTTGGTGGCGCCGTGAGATTGGACAAAGAGAGGATGCGACGATCGTTGACACCGACATTGTGTATTCCGAGCAGAAATTTTTTCTTCGTACTCGACACAGAGGAAAACAACTGTTACATAAAGAGTTTTCCTCGTACGAAACGCACACTTTCTTCATTGCGCACAGATGACATAATTCTCTTTAATTAAGGGGAATGTCAACCGTGGAAGTTGAACGTGCGTTTATATAATTTACCTCGTGAGATTTGAATTATTCATAGAAGACGGACGAAAAGTATTTTAATCTGTTGTAACTTCGTAGAAAAAGAAATCGTAGAAATCGTCTTTTTAAGCACGAAGCCTCTACTTTGATGATTTTGAAGAAATAAAACTTTCCTACTGAATATCTATCATTTTTCGTTCACGTGACAGAAACTCATTTTCTGAGAATTAATTAACGAGTTTAATTGCGATTCATGGAAATCTTTAGATAAATAATTATGACATGTTTTGCAAATTATGCTCCTACGGTAGAATTATGTGTTATATAAAACATTTTGAAATTTCATTTACCCTATCTTGGTTATAATTGGTCATTTGAAACGTATGTAAACACGTGTATAAAAATGACAAAATATTTAATGCAAGTGACAAATATATTATCGATAATTCTCAATGTTCAATGAAACTAGACACACTTGATACTTATTACATCTTGTACAATTTTACTGTATCATACATTTTCTGATTGATTATCATACAATCACAGCAATCATTTCTCATTACAATGTTAATGAAATTTCAAAATGTACGCAACACATGCAATTAGTTGATCATAGAATATTTCACGAAGTGACAACATTTCAACTATATCAGTGTCATTGACTGTTGCAAAAAAATCACACATCTTAAAGATCATATATTTAAAAAAACTTTGCATTAGTACGTTGCGTCAATACATATAAAGATATTAGAAAAAAGGAAAAAAGAAGTAGGACGCTTCAGTATTTTCTCGATTCACTGTGTTTCCTTTTCGAGCACGATACTGCGTTAACTGATGTTTCATTTGGCCAACAGATTTCTAACATTGTCTCGACCTTGTGGCGTATGATTATTTCAATTATTTTATTACGAACCGTATCAATCTCGGCCCATATAATGCATATAATCAGGAGGCTATTATTCCACGAGCGCACGGCTGGCGGAATAAGGACCTTTCCTCTGCCTCTCTTCGGCTCTCCCCCGTAGAGTCTCCATACCATCTCTTTCTCTCTCTTTCTCTCGATTCGCTCGTTTTCGTGATATTGTAATTTGGAGACCGCAAACTCGCTGACGTCACTGGTGTGCACTAGACGGAGCATCTTGCCAGCGTGTAGCACACCGTCGAAACTCGATTTCTTTTTCTTCTTCTTTTCTTTTTTTTTTTTTTTCTCCCTCTGCGTCTTCTTATTGGCCAGACAATTTCGATGAAAAGCATATTAAAGCCGGACGAATTATAGGGATTTCGGTAGATTAGATATGCGCCGAATTGAAGGATTGCGTTACTAATTCCGGCGAAAAACGCCGACGCGCTGCTCGTTGCTTCGAGATTTATTTGGCCTCGGTGGTATTATCCCCGCAAAAGTTGATGTTTATCGGATTTTGTATTTTGACGGGCGGAATCGAATGGAAACGGAAATTTTTCGAGGCAGAATAGAAATTGAGAAACGCGAAAACGTTAAATTGGAGCTTGTTGAAGCTTGTAGAATCTCATTAATTGCTGGTTCGCAGATATATTACACGGGCCGTGTCGATTATTTAAAACGGCGATTGCACGCCGTAATGTGCCTGTCGTTCGATCGTTGCATTTTTCGAATGCAGCGAGTGTATTTTTTTTTTTTTTTATTGCTAGAAAAAAACAAAAAAAGTAAAAAAGACAGGCGGATCGTAAATGTGGGTGTAGTGAATAACAGGGTGTGCGAGAAATAAGAACAGAGTTTGCATTGGCCGGGTAGTAAATGTAGAAACGATCGTTTAATGAGAAACATTGCGAGGCGAATAACACTCGAAGTTATCGAGCGTGAGCCAATTAGAGACGGCGCATAAAATTTTTGCCTCCTTGCTCTGTTGTTCGCTGCAATCACCGTTAAAGATGGCTTAATCGGCATCGACGTTAATTGATAACGTTCCGTGAGCCTAGAGAGAATCACTGTATTGTAAACTGCCAATTAGCTTTAAATTCGATACTCGCATTCGACGGTTTCTTCTCTCTTATTGGAATCTACGAGCGATGATTTACGAGTGGAAACGAGCACATTGAACGATCGTCGACGAGAGATTGTGAAATCGGCGAGGTGTCAAATTTACACGTGGCGTAATTAATTGATAATTGGCTTAAACGTTAGATCTACTATTGAATGCATTGACCTTTTCTCAGGTATGAGATATATACATATGAATTGTAGTTGATCCTGAGAAATCTATAATTATGAATTGTAGTTGATCCTGAGAAATTAGTCCGTCTTGCATACGTTCAGTTACACTGTGTGTATTTCACGCAGTCTGTGGTTCTGACGTAAGATTCTTATTTGAACGTGCCATACAATTATAATCGATGGAATTTGTTGAAAATCGTGGAACGTGCCTCGATGATCCCTTTCATTTGGAAGCAACAAAGTTCAATAAAACAAATCCTACAGCAAGTTTCAGAAGATCGTTGCAAAAAGGATGACTT